TTTGAGTCATGATATTACAATAGACTTCTTTCATCTTTGAATTTATTGACATATGTTGTTACGTCAATCTATATCAAATGAACATATCATACTATCTTGCATCCATCATATCAAGGACTCAAGTGTATAGTATTAACGAGGATCTCACAATATTAATTTAGTGTGTAAATTGTACGTATAAACTCGACCAGAAGATCATTAGCACACCCACGATGATGGATACATCTAGCACATCGAGAATCTATCTGATGTATTTTACAGTTCCTTAATTTCTGTACCAGTTCTGTTGTTTCCTGCGTCCACCCCGCAGTGTGCCCCCAAGAGTCAATACCTTTCATGTGTCCACCCCAGCTCGTGTCTAGGATAGAATCAGTCAAAACGAATCAGTCAAATCAACTATCCAGGATCAATTTTAACCTCTCGCACCACGGCAAGAAGAGTGGTGCCGTGGACCAGCTTGATCGCCGGCTGGCAGCGTACGTCTCACATCCGTCCTTGGAGCTGACAACAACGTTTTGATTGGGGTGGATTCTTTGCACAAAAGAAGAGGATTTGGATGGAGGAATTGTTGAGGATGGGAAGGTGAGGAGTCATCTACCGCATTCATTGATCACGTTCAAGGAATTGATCAGAATTCGAGCAGGAACTCTGTCAAGGTCATCATGCAGGAAATGGTCAATGTTTGTTTGGTATGTACCAATCTGAAATCTGAATCCTTTGCGGTGTAGTGCTTGCATGGGCATTTCCTCGAAGTATGTAGCCTCATTTTGAAACCGTTGCATTACTATGTGATAAAAAAAATATATAATAGCTCTCTCTCTCTCTCTACATGAACTTTAATATCTTATTCTATGCTTGAATACCAACATATGTATTGCCATGGGACCAGGTAACAAGCCAGGGCCGGGTCGACCCATTCCCATTCCTAAATTGTTGTTCGTTATTCCAATTCACCATGACCATTAATCTCTTTCAATACATCGATGCCTTATTGCTCCAATTCACAGGCCTCTTACATTTTTCACCCATTCTTCCTTATTTTGCTTGTAACCTCTTCCCCTTGGTTATTTTCCTCACCCTGCATTATTTCATTGAACATATAATGTTAACTCTTCTAACCTTATATACTTGATGTATATGCTATTTAAAGAACTAAAGCCGTGTGCATCGACACTCACCGTACTTATCTCACCCTCCGTTGACCCATTCTTCGCCAGTATCGGTGGTAACTCTCCATCAACCATATGGCATAGCCCCTCATAATATTCTATTTTATACCAGTTCTTTCCATCTTCATGCCATTTGTAATCCTCCTTTGTGATTAGCAACTTTGTTTGTATACTCATTACTAAACTCTTAATCAAAACATAACAAATTGAATTCATGCAAGCTTTAACCTTACCATACCTTTCGCTTTTCGATGCCCACTCCATTTTGGCTTTTCTCCTTCTCTTCCTCTTTCTTGCTAGATGCCTTGTTTGTTCCCCCCATATTTCCTTGTCTCTGGTTCTACTGTGCAACCAGGAAGTACTATGATCGTGTTATGGTGAGTACTCATTTATAACCAACATTATGGTCCGTATACTTTTGCGTGAATGGCTCTACAAAAATCCCATATCCACTTGTTTTGGTTCTAAAAATAGACATGTTGTTTTGATTGCAGGCACTTGTGGTTTAAGGCCAGTCTCAATGGGGATTTCATAGAGTTTCATGGGCATTAAATACGCTGACATGGCACTGTCTTGATGAAGAGAGAGAAGATAAAAGTTTCATGGGAGTAGAGAGAGTTTCATGGGGATGAAACTCTTCTGCACTGTTTCCAAAATATGGGTGTCTTGGAAACTGGGAGATGAAACCCCCATTGAGACTGGCCTAACTACACACACCCATTCATTTATATCTTAGCACATTAATCAATTGAGTCGCTTGTGGTTTAACTACATGCACGCATTCATTTATATCTTAGCATATTAATCAATTGACCTAGCCCTCACCATACTTTTTGATGACTAGTTTTGTCAGATTGCAATCTTCGCATTTTTGTTTTCTTTTGAGTTCCCTATTGCAGGGTTTCTTCCTTGCTACCTTCCTATGATATAGTTGGTCATTTCTAGGATATGATGTTATGACAATATAGTAAGCTTCATTTGAATGTTGACTTGCTTAAATCAACTTGTTATTCAATGTTTATTCTACGTGCCTATTTCGATACTCTTAAATCATATTTTATATTTAATTAAACGAAAAACCCACCCAATTGTTTAATTAAGCGATTGTCCAGACCGCCCGTGGCAAGAGTAATTGGCCTTTCTACTGCACATGCACAATCATGCAATACATACGTCCTACCCTATGTTAAATCCACATACCATGACCATTGCTCTATTTGTTTAGTTTATGGTTTTATATGAATTAGTTATTAATGAAACATACTTTTTTATTGAATAAACACCCTAAAAATTAGTATCACAATTGTCTTATTCTTATTTTCAGTTAGTAAATAAGATATATTTGATGTTAGTTTATACTCAGGACACAGTGGATTTATGAGAAATAACCAGGAATGCCAAATGCCGATTATGATTATACAGACAACAGATTCATTACCCTACAACTTATTACAAAATCTTGATCAAAGTAAATTCGATTATCAAACTAGTGTATCCAAACAGAGCCTAATTTCATCAACGTCTTCATTGGAGACTGACAATTTGCTGGCTTTTCGTCTATGTTTCATCTCCAATTGTGATTTCTTTATCTCGTTTTGTTATTTCAAATCCTGCAATTATGATACAAAGTTAATACTTATGCACCAAATTTACTGGCGACCGCATCAAAGATGTAATAAACGTTTCAAATTGCACCACTTAATAATATACGTTTCAAGTAATCAACCCACCTTTCCATCCTTGTTTGCATCCTCGTCTTCATACTCAACCAAGGAAGTGATCTTTTGTAGTTCACCCTTGCATTTCCTATATTTTGTTTTGGACTTACCTCTTTCTTTGACGATTTTCATTGCTTCTCTCATGAGCTTCTCTGCACGACTATCCTTCGTGCCAACTTGACTCTCCCCATCATTGTAAGCTTCTTCTTTTCCTTTGCCCCCCCTTGCTTCTACTCGCCATGTTGCTTCTCTTTTTTCTGATCGATACGCTTCACATAGGAACACAACCTTCTATTATTTAAACATACACATTTTTGAAGATGCCATGTGCTGCCGCTTGTACCAGCGAAGGAGCCGCGCCAAAGACGCGCAGCAGTGCATAGGAGCCACGCGATCAACCGCGCATGTCCGCATGAACGCAGTCAGCCCCGCTGCTGGCCGCAGGAAGCAGCCCAGCCGCTGCCCTTCACCGTTGCAACCACTCGTGGCTCCCCGCCTATTTTAAGCAATCTACACCTGGTAAGCATACATGCAGCCACTCGTTTTCTTTATTGGGTAATAAGTGATCATCGTAGCTCTCAGAATAACCACCTCTTCTCTTTTTAAGCACAACTCTCTTCCATTACCAGTTTGTCTTCACTGCATTACCTCGTAACACTTATACTGAGTGTTAGTCATACTGCGTCCATATATTCCTTTTTGCTTTTCTAACACTCCTTTCATCCGTATCTTTTTCCGCTTCATCCTATTCCACTATGCCCAAGCCCCCCTGGTCTGTCTTTTGAGCGGTACATCGAGTACTATCGCAACCGTGCAACGTTACATCATGTTTCCGATACATGCTCAAGCAACACCACTTACATTTTGCGGGCCAAAAATAATCAAACTCATCCACCACCTAAAGACCAGCCAAATCCTTCTCACACAGAGGAAAATAGTAAGCCTCTAGTCACCTCCAATGAGAAAAATATCGTTCCTCCGGTCATTGACAAGTTGCTCAACAAACCCCGAAGGATCCACGATGATCCTTACGGTGACAATTCTGATGATGATGAACCAAGCCCTGAAGTGTCAGAAGATGACTCTTCTGGAACCGAAGATGAAGGTCAAGGCTCAAACAGAGTTAAGGGTCCGGTCCTGAATGAGCCTAAAAATGCCTCGCATGAAGACGATGATGAACCCAAAGCCAAGAGGAAGTTGTTTATATAATTTAGCTTTCTATATTTATGTTTTTTTATCTAAATTTATAATTATAGATATATGTAATATTCTATTTATTTAAGCATCTGATTGTTAATTGTTTTATTCTTTACCAGTTTTATGTCCTTATTATTCTTTCGCGTCACATCATATGTGCATCAATAATTCCCCTTTTAAATATGATCCTATTTACATTGTGGTTATAGACTAATGTTTTTTAGTACATACTCCTTTCTGTATGTTTTCTTAGTCGTTTTGGACTTTGCACAAAATTCTAGTATGCTTGTCGTACAAGGTTTCCAATGAACCTTAAAGAAAGTCATTGTTGTCGCTCCTCAAAAAGAAAAAAGTTACTCTTTCTTTTTCTCATTAGAGTATTATCACCAGGTTCTGAATTCTAACGTTTTCATTTTTTTTATTTAAAAGCATTGCCCCCCATATCACTGGCTGAAACTTTAACACATTTGTTAAGTTAATTAAATCTCAGAATTTCTAGGAGGCCTGCGAATTTTAGATTTGGGTAGCTGAAGAGAGATAGGGAGGGTCCGGAGGGAGGTATGATGGATGGAGCGACCAAACTTGGCGCTGCTGCAAACTGAACTCGAGGTGCAGTTAGCCTTATACCTTTCATATCTCACACTATATACATGTCCAGCACTTCACTGATGTCTATCAGTATCAATTATCCTACTGCCAATTGTTCCAACTAACAACTACTAGGTCATAAAGCCTACAGCTACTACAGCATGCACCTTACCAAGGTTATTTCCGAAAGAATGGAGCACAATATGCTCATGACACAAGCAACATTTAAAAAACATGACAGCAAGGGCTACCCAAATTTCCAACAGCAAGGCTGAAGTTCAGACATCATTTAACCAATAATTGTTATTGTTCATATTGTGACAAAGTTTCAAACTAGGTCAGCTTCAACAACATATTCATCATCGTCCTCTGAACTGCTATGAATTTCTATATAAGAACGGTCGTCCAACAGCCTCCTCCTTTCCATCGGCCTCTCCTCCATCTTCCTATCATTTCCATGCACAGCCTTGTTTTGCTTGTTCTTTAATCCTGCAGGTCTGCCCCTCTTTTTATTCTTTATCGCTTCAAGGCGTTCTTGATTCTTTTCCAACGTTGGGCATGTCACTGAGTTATGTGTTGAATACATTTTACAAACGCTGCATTTTCCATTTCCCTTCTTCTCGCCTTGTGCTCCAAGAGTGACTTCATTCTTTTCTAATGAGGTCTTGCAACGTCCCTTTGTCTTAGCTCGAGGTGGTAGATCCATGCTAATCCCGGTGTCCTCTGTTACGCCCACCTGTACATGTTTTTTTCCTATAAATTTACTCAACCATAAATTACGAAATGTAAAGTGACTGCCCAGATTATCTCACATTGTGTGCTCCTGTAGTGTTCTGGTCACCGTACTCCCCATCCCCTCTCTCATCCCATCTTCCTTTTTCAACTACCTGCAGTGCAATATTTAGTTTCCCATTGTCAGCTAAGATTTGACACATAAACATGTCATTTGCACTCGAATTTCATAAAATATTCATCCAATTTAAATTTACCTGTGCCGCTGTCCTGTCAACATGATCATGACATGGATTTATTATCCTGTCATGTTCATCATTTGTTTGCCTCATCCCCTACCATCCAAGCAAATAATATTCATTTATCAGCATCGTTATGGTCACAATGCCACCTTGTTGAATGGCCCAAATAAAAATCAATTACCTGTGTACCATTTGAAAGCCCTAGTTTGGTTTTGACTAATTGATGAAACCTAGTGTACTAACCTTTGGACTCTAAGTGTGATTATGAGCTAGGTTAAGTACACACCAAGATGGAGCTCGATGAAATGCCATGGTGGAGATGGTGAAGGCCATAAGGTGATGATCATGGTGATCAAGTGCTCCAAACTTGGAAAGGAAGAAAGAGAAAAATAAAATGGCTCAAGGCAAAGGTATAAACCATAGGAGCCATTTGTTTTGATGATCAAGACATCATAGAGGGTGTGATCATATTTAGGTTAGATAGCCGTACTATGAAGAGGGGAATTTCATCCCTTACGGTTGTCTAAGTGCCTCTAGATCAAGTGACAAGTTGCATATGCATGTAGGATCTAGAGAGCGATGTGAAAAACCCTTGAAAAATGTTTGAAAAAGTCTAACACAAGTGCAAAAGTGATAGATCACTTAGGTGTTAGCACACGAGATAAGGGGCGAAGAAACGAGACGAATCAAAGTCACCAGGGGTGACCGAACTCTGGTCCCTGAGGGACCAGACGCTGGCCATGGCGTCCGGTCAGTTCGGCACAGCAGCAGCTCGAACCGGACGCTGGTGAGCGTAGAGGACCGGATGCGCCGGCTCTACTGTTCCGGTTGGCTGTAGCGGATGCGTCCGGTCCGCGGCTAGGGCTCGGGGAGCTCTCTGGTCGGCACCGGACTCGCCAGGCGCGAGCGTCCGGTGCATCATGAGAAGGCGCGGGATCGTCCTAGCCGTTGAAATCCAACGGCCACGGTTAAACGGGGACTGCCACGCGGATGGCCAGGAGCGACTAGACGCTGTGGGCGCGTCCGGTCAGGCTCGACCGGCGCGTCCGGTGCAGTCAGGCAGAGCCCAAATGAAAGAGCCAACGGCTCTATTCTTTGGAGCTGCCTATATAAGTGTGGTGGCCGGTCGAGGGAGCTCTCTCTTGCACATTTTGATGATCATAAAACATACATTGAGCGAAGCTACTCCCTCCTGCTCCTTCTCTCTTGCTTGATTGCGAATTTCTTGAGAGATTGAGTGATCCAAGTGCATTGCTTTGTGTTCTTGCATTCTAGAGGCACTTGGGTGATCCAAGCTATGGATTTCTTGTTACTCTTGGCACTTGTCGGTGCCTAGACGGCTTGGCGGTGGATTGGAGGTGTTGGCGGAGTTGGTGTTTGTCTCGGGCCTCACCCGAGGTGATTGTGAGGGGCTATTGTGTTCATCCCCGCCGGAGTGGCGAAGAACAACTCTAGTGAAGATGATGAAGGCAATGGCCGGGCCGAAGCTGCTCGTCGTCCACACGTCGTCGAACAAGGCCCTGAACGAGATGGCGCCGGCGTCGCCCATGCCGTTCCATGGCTGGTCCCGGTGCATGTGGCTGGTGGTCTTCCTGGCCTTGTTCACCTGCGTGTCCCTCCTCACCGTGTTCTCCACGGCCCGCGCCTCGGCCGTGGGGCCCGACGTCATCAGCAGCGGACAGGGTGGTGGCGGAGCCTAGCCTCGGTGGTGGCGTGGAGGGCCGCGGAGAGACTGGAGTGCCGGTTCCCGCCGGGACACCCACCAAGCTGCTGCTGATGGCAGTGGCGGTCGCGGCGGCTGCTTCCGGCGTCAGTGTCGGCGGCGGCCCAGGTGGCCGCGGAGGGGGCGCTGGAGCACCGGAGCCCGTGGATCCCGCATGGGCGGGCTCGACGCCGATGGTGGCTACTGCAGTGGGGCCCGACCTCGACGGCAGCGGTTGCGTGGAGGGCCGCGGAGGGGCCGAAGCGCCGGATCTAGCGGGGACGGCCTTGGGTCCACCGCCGGCAGCGTCCGACGCTAGCTTTCGCGCGGGCGGCCACGGATCCCGCGGAGGCGCCAGAGTGCCAGATCCTGCGACATCTGTGGTGGGGAGGGTAGGGGAGGTGGAGGGGGAGGAGGAGGGGGAGGGGAGGGCAGGGGGCGCCGGCGCCTGGGAGGCGGCCGGCGCCGCCGGCGGCAGCGGGTGGAAGGCCATCACGTCGGGGCTCTCGAAGGGTTCAGTGGTTTTTAGTGCTGTCTAAATGCATAATTTCCATTTTGATTCCTTCTGGAAGGCGTCTGTTTCAATTTTGTTCGTATAGATCCCAATGATGAGCCTTGTGGTAATTATTAGCCTTTTGAACTTTATCTTGTTTCGTTGAGACTCATTTGTCTCATTTCATGACCATTCATCTGTATCTGATATATGGATTCTCACCTTATGAAACTATGCAGGTTCTCCTGGCCATAAGATCTCAAGGTGGTGAACAAGCTCTCATGCAGACAATGAACCGTGCGCGTGAACTCTATGCGCAGAGATTGCAGGCCACTCCTAGTGTTGATGAGCTTGCCTCTTTGCTTGCCCAATGTAACATAGCAGAGGCTCAGTCAACAAATACTAACCCTTCACAAGGACCTGGATCAGACCCTGTCGATATGCTGAATTCTGATGAGACCTGCATTCTTGCTGAGAGTGGAAGGAAGCAGATAATCCTGGATGCGTTTGCCGATGGGAGCAGCTTCATTTGCTTGAAATGTGGTGGGCTCTTTAGCACATCTCGCAAGGACAAGCACTTGGCCTACTGGTGCGGGACTGCATGATCCTGGTTACATCTTGCTGTGGTATATCTATGGTCACACCTGGCAATGAACCGATGATCATGATACCCGTGAGATTTTGTAAAAACTTTGTTCTTTCCAATTACTGCTTCTTTACTGCAAGGATGCCAGAAATGCATCTGTTAAGTCGTAGTAAATACATTGCCGATGCCTAACTTTATGAACGAAAGTTTCCATCTCTATCCGTTGTATTGTACTTGTGTTTTCGGCTGATGGAAGGTGTTGATATGTTTGGCATGGTCATCAAATTCCAATAGTTGAATGTCGAAAGAATGTTCTTGTGGTTAGCTTCGACCGCACAAATACTGAAACTGGATAGAAAGTATGGAGGAACTGTTAGTGAGCCCCTTCGCTTTTGATTTTTCGAGTTGAATACTGGCTTTAGCAGTGAGATTCTTTAGAAAATCTGCGAAGATAGAGCATTGCCATCACTACCTGCTACCATAAAAGGTTCGTTTTCGCGTCCCTCTTTCTGTTTATCAACTATTCTTCTGCTTGGATGACCAACCCATGCTTTTATGGTATTGTTACTGGCGTCGGTATGTTGCTTCATCGAATTACTTCCTGTAAATGTGAAATGGTTCTGGTCCTTTTGGACTGCACAAGGAATGGGGGCGAGTGCTGCGTGTTTCATGCTCGGTTTTGCCGAGGCTTCACTTGAAGGCAACGGAGACTCGGAAAGAGAAGCTGAGAGCCACCTCCTATCTGCAGAACTTTAGCTCCTATCATGACTGTGGCTTACATTCTAAGTGTTTGCTGCTGGTAGCATCTTGCGATCAGTCAAGGAATTCCAGTCTTCATTTGTTAGCGCAGTTTTTCTCACCAAACCTGATATGCTCTCATGGCTGCTTTTGTTTCATATACGTCTGGTGGTGGTCAGAAAGCTGCTGGCTGCCCTTCCAAAACCTGGTGTCATCTTCTGTTGCTTTTCGAATTTCGATGATGCTCTTGTATCATCACTCATCAGGCAGTGGCAGATTGGTACTGTGCTGCAATGCCAAAAAACCATGGGTCCTCACTCTGCCTAAAAAAAGTGTCATGACTATGTTGTCCGGGGAATATTCACATTCTGTTCATTCCAATTGTAATGGGACTATTTGGTGCTAACAAATTTCAACTTTGAAGATCTTCATCTAAACAAACTTGAGAATTGAGAAAAAAATATTGCATTACAAACGGTTTTTTATTGTGCTAAATAGGAAATGATATAGTTAATGTTGCGAGAAAGATTTGGTGTCAAAATCAGAGTGCCATCAAAACCTACCCAAATTTGAGCCACTCTGAAGCAAAGCCTTGCAGGTTGCAACCCTCAACCAATTTTTAACCTGGTTTGCTTTCCTGCCAAACATGCCAACTACTAATCCAACATAAGCTTATTTAACTTTGCTTAATTCAGCTGGCTTGGCATGCTGTCAGTCCCTCTCAACCCCCATCCCATCCCAACCTCCATTCCTTCCTCCCTTGCTAACTCTGATCTCTCACCTGAAAACGTCAGTGTGAGTGGCCATTCCATCTGCACAACATCCTCATCTACTAAACCTTGTCAGCGTTCACTCCAGACACACACACACACAAGCGCACAAAAGCCAGAGCGCGGAGATGATGAAGGCAATGGCCGGGCCGAAGCTGCTCGTCGTCCACACGTCGTCGAACAAGGCCCTGAACGGGATGGCGCCGGCGTCGCCCATGCCGTTCCATGTCTGGTCCCGGTGCATGTGGCTGGTGGTCTTCCTGGCCTTGTTCACCTGCGTGTCCCTCCTCACCGTGTTCTCCACGGCGCGCGCCTCGGGCGGGGTGGCGTACCAGGCGGCGGCGCCTTTCACGGTCACCGCTGCCGGCGCCGCGGAGGCCGGCCTGCCGCGGTACGTGTTCGACGCGCTGGTGCATTACGCGGCGGCGGCGGGGAACTCGTCGTCGAGCATGCCGGAGCCGGACGTGCGCGCGATCGCGTCGGTGCTCCGGCGGCGCGCGCCGTGCAACCTGCTGGTGTTCGGTCTGGGCGCGGAGACACCGCTGTGGCGCGCGCTGAACCACGGCGGGCGCACGGTGTTCCTGGACGAGAACCCCTACTACGTGGTGCACCTGGAGGGGAAGCACCCGGGGCTGGAGGCCTACGACGTGGCCTACGCCACGGCGGTGCGCGAGCTCCCCGACCTCCTCGACGCCGCCCGCGCCGCACGCGCCGCCGAGTGCCGGCCCGTCCAGAACCTGCTCTTCTCCGAGTGCCGCCTCGCCATCAACGACCTCCCCAACCAGCTCTACGACGTCGCCTGGGACGTCATCCTCGTCGACGGCCCGCGTGGGTACGTGCCAATGCACATGTACCATCGCCATGCATGTCGGATGCCGCGTCCTCCATGGTTTCTTGGAATGATGAGTAAGGAAAGAAGCCAATTCATTAGCTGATGATTTTGTCATGGTATGAAGGTTCACGCAGGGGTCGCCGGGGAGGATGTCGGCGATCTACTCGGCGGCGGTGATGGCACGGACCAAGGGCACGGAGACGGAGGTGATGGTGCACGACTACGAGCGGGAGGTGGAGCGCGCGTGCGGCCGGGAGTTCCTGTGCGACGAGAACCGGGTCACAGCGACCAGCACGCCGTCGCTCGGCCACTTTCTCGTGCGCGGCGGCGCCGCCGTCAACCGGGAAGCCTTCTGCGGGCCGCCCGCCGCTCAGAAATCGAAATCGACCTAAGCTAGTAGTTACTTCTCCTCCCCCCGTTTAGCCCCAACATGCTCCAGTTTTGTGATGCATGCATGATGCGTAAAGAAATGTTAATGCTCCAATCTGTAAAATTGAGTTCTTTGAGCGATGATGATCTTCCTCGTCCAAGCGGAAGGTAAATTGACAGGAGAAAGTAATGAACTCGCAGAATTGTGTCAATGAAGCATAGAGATCAGTGGTTCCTTTTCGAACAAATCTTGTGGGTTGTGGTGGCCCAATGATTTCTCCCTTCAAACATATTGTAATGCCTAACGTGCCAACACATTTGACACATTTAAGAGAAATTTTGCACTTACAATTCATATATATCCAACTATTTGAAAAGGTACTACACCTGGATGGCAAGTAAATCAACCGGCAATAATAAACGTGGTCCATTGCACAAATGGCAAAATCATTATTACTCACTGCTACGCAAATAATTTTGCAAGACAGTGCCTTTTTTATTAACGGAGGCGGTCACAAAATCCAACCGCCTCGGTTAATGCCTACGATTAACGGAGGCGGGCATTTTTTATTTACCGAGGCGGACACTTTTGCCTGCCTCGGAAAATAGATTTATGGAGGCGGTCATCCTAAGGCAACTGCCTCAAAAATAATCTATTTTCGGAGGCGGTCGTCTTAAGATACCAATCTCCGTAAATCTATTTTTTGAGGCGGGCACGCTATAAGGCCCGTCTCCGAAAAGGCCGAGGCCCAACAAACCCTAGGCAGCCCACTACTTTGCAAGCGTGTGTATATATCAAAGATAGGGTTTGGGCAACCCGGCACCACTCCTCTCTCAGCCGCTGCGCTCTCTCTCTCCCTGTCCCATCAGTTGTGCGTCCCTCTCTCTCACTCCCGCAGGCGCGTCGCTCTCTCTCCCTCACCCCAGCAGCCGTGCGCGTCTCTCTCTCTCTCTCTCTCACCTCTTCCGGCATCCATGCGTAGCTCAGTGGCCGCACCTCCTCCGGCGGCGTGGCCACGCGCCCTGGCCACCGCGCCTCTCTCCCTCCCTTCTATCCCTCACACGCGGTGGATCGAAGTCCCGGCGGCGGTGGCGCGCGCCCTGGCTGGAGGCAGTGGCACACGCCCTGGCCGGCAGCATGGAGGGCCCCGCGCGGTTGCTGCACGCCCTAGCCATCGTGGATCTGGCGCAAGGAGGAGGTATGCCCCTCATCCTCTGTCTCCTCTCTCAGATCCAGGGCGGATCCATCCCTCACCCTCCCTCCCTCGCAGATCCGCGACGACGGGGTCTGCGGTGACCTCCTCCGGCGGTGGTGGTGCGGTTGCTGAGGCGAGCTCCCCGTCGGTGGCGGCGGCGCAGGAGGATCAAGATCCGCCAATGGCGCGCCGGCCCCCTCCACCTCCGGCGACAGTGGGCGAGATCCAGGAGGCGCAAGGAGTCTGGATCCGGCAGGGAGGAGGAGGCGGCCGCGCCCAGATCCGGCAGCGGGCTCGATTGGGCTCGGCAGGGTTTTTTTATTTTTTTAATCGATTAATGGAGGCGGGCAGCTTAATATGACCGCCTCCGTTAATCGATTAGCCGAGGCGGCAAAGCAACCGCCTCAAAAAAAGGTTGATTAACCGTGACCTTTGATTGGAGGTGGTTGCAATGCCGCCTCCATTAATCCAAAATGCCCATCACCATTAAGTTATTCTGTACTAGTGACTGTTATTGATCTATTGAGTGGCATTTTTAGACTTGTATGGTTAGCTTGTGTCCCAACTACTTTCAGGTGAACATTTTGTAAGACTTGTGATTTGATCTTTAAAAGCAGGTTTTTTTTGTGACTTCTTTAAAAGCAAGGTTGACCTCCATAAAAAAAAATCTATTGAGCTACAACAAGGAATACTTTTTTTAAATTAATCGTATTTTATTGACACTAGAAAATTATGCTTCCATCGACAAAGTCGTCATGAGATGTTTTTTTATATAAAAAAAAGCCCAAACAAGGGTGAATTTCCCGTCATGTTAATATGTTATCCAATCGTGTGGTTAATGGAAATTCACCCTTTGTTTGGTCCTTTTTTCCTTAAAAAGGAAAACAAAACAATTGTCTTACTTCTCTTTTAAACCTTGAAAACACCATTCAAATATCCACACAAACTATGATTTATTTTGCATGCTATGACATGCTATCTTAAAGTGTTCCATTGAATTTTAATTCGAATAGGTGAATTACAGCCACAAGTACAAAGGAAAGATTTTATGGGAAACAAAACTTGTGTTTTTCTTAATTATTATGTAGGCTGAATATTTTTGGAGAACTTGAAG